AATGCACAAAAGACAAAAATCATGGCCGTGTATCTTTCCATATTCTAGCGGAAGATTCACTCTCGTTTTGCACATTTCGAGAGTAGTGCAGCGAGTTCTTCACCATGTTCCTCTCAGATCCAGGGGTCAAGGGCAGGTCTGAGCGATATATTTTTTTGAGCCTCATTCGGACGAAGGGGTTGAAGAGTGACATGGATTATTAGGGAGAAGGAATCCGCGAAACATTGGCAGAATCGAAAGCCTTCTGTTCGAGCCATAGCTTTCAATAAGGAGGGCAGCAATCCCTTCGGTCCTTCTCCTCGTATCATGCTCTGTTCCGCTCCCGCTTCGCCTCTTATTACCCTCCGCTCTGCTTCGGTCATCTCCGTCACCTTCCCTCTTCCCGACCACGGCCTGAAAACTGCGCACATGCCTACATTGCCTAGCGGGCGATCCGAAGGACTTCCCTATATTGCTTGCCCCTCCCTCCGTTTTATGTTGCCCTGTTTGCAAGTTTGTGGAAGAGGAGAGCCGGCAAGATTCTAGCGCAAGCATCCCCTCTCTTCAGGCACTCAAGGAATACTCGTCATCGTAGACCTGTGCGCACAGTTTCTTCTTCTTTTTTTTTTTTTTTTTTTTTCTAAGTTGTGCGGGTTGGAGACGGCCTTAGGGGGGTCCTTGTCGCACGGCCATCGAGGGCAGCCCCGCCAGACGGGCCAGCGCGCCGAGCCGCGCAGATTCACGAGGCACTACTATCCCTGCCCTGTTTGACTCTCACCATCGCTGATTATGTTGATCTTCCGAAGTCGCTTGTTCGCCTCTCAACATCACTGATGATGTTGTTCTTCCTTCTTAGTAGATTTCAGCTATGTCTGTAGTCGTGGTCGGTTACACCGACAGAGGACGTGAAAGTTGATACGCTTGTGGTGATGAGCTGCTTGAGACCGGGGAAGGTGATGCACTAGTGTTAACGAACCTGCAGTTTTTTGTTTTCTGTTTTTCCCGAAATAGGCTATGGCGCCGGACTTTTCGTAGCAATTTTCTTGGGGTACCCGAACCTGGCTTTTTGCCTAACTTCAGTCGTTCATTTCTGCAAAATAAGGTGCAGCCATCATCTCGCGCGCTGTCTGGCAGCTTGAACCCTTCGGGGGGACTAACAACGAGCATATCAAACAGAAAGCGTGCGAATGAGACTATTGCAAGCAATCAGGAGTGGATGGAAACAAAAGAGGGGCGTTCGTAAATAGTCAGGACTCAGGGGCCGTGGTTTTTCTCATGGGTCTCGTTCTTTGCGCAGGGTTTTTGTTGTGAATTCGCCTAAAAGGGGAGAGAAGAGCCCCAGGACGGGTCAAGCAACGCGCCTGCAGAGGGATCTGGCATGCTCGGGTCTGAGCTTGTGCTCCTGCCGTGATGCTTCCGCGAAAAGTGAAGTGTTTGACGTGACGGGGGTGAGATTGCGTGACAGCACGAGTTGCACCTCGAAGGCTCGAACGCGTGACAGCTCTGCTGCCAGCCGCATAAGCTCTCAGGGGTCCGCTGTACAGGCTTAGGAGTAGTGGTAGGTAGGTAGAACGGGGTGAACTTGAGAGAAGCATATAGCTGAGATTTGAAAAAAAAAAAAGAGGCGCTATTTCGGTCGTTCGATTTGCGTATTTTTCCTTTGATTGTTGAGTTACAAAGCAAGGGAGATGGTAAGCGAGGGTCGAGAAATGGTAAGCGAGGGTCGCCAGGCTGTGTCCACGAAGTTAGTTAGATAATTGGATACCGTGGGGGGCGAGAGAAGCATTGCGCGGTTGTCGAAGACCGAGACAGTCTCTGACAGTGTTATAAATTGTCTGCTACATCAACGGGGAGAAACGCTAATTCGATCGTTGTGATTTGCTTATTTCACTTTCGATTGTTGATATCAAAGCAAGGGAAATGGGAAGCGAAGGTCTCCAGGCGGTGTTCGCGAAGTAAGATAATTAGAAACCGTGGCGGGCAAAGAGAAGTATTGGGCGGTTGTCGAGGACAGAGACGGTCTCCGACGGTCTGTGCAAATTGTGTGCTAAATCGAAGGGGAGAGGGTGTGGATAACTGCGGTGAAAAGGAGGAGGAGGAGAAGGAGGAGGAGGAGGAGGAGGAGGAGGAGGAGAAGGAGGAGGAGGAGGAGGAGGAGAAGGAGGAGGATAGAGAGTAAAAGGAAGAGAAGTAATCAGAGGAGAACGAAGATGGGAAGAGCGCAGTTGCGGAAAGAAACTTCGTGCGGGGGGACAACATGGATGGTTGTCTGAGACCTATGAAGCCGTCCAACACTCGCACAAGGGAAGAGCTGGGTAGCGCGGAGGACTGCCATCAGGAGTAGGAGGAGGAGGAGGATAGAGAGGGAAAGGAAGCGAAGCAATCAGAGGACGAGGTGGGTGGAGAGAGCGTGGGCGCGGAAGAAACGTCGGGCGGGAGGACAACATGGATGCTGGTCTGAGACCTACGGAGCCTTCCACCATTCGCATAGCGATAGACCTGGGTAACGCGAGGTTTCTGCCCTCAAGAGTAGGAAGAGGAGGATAGAGTGACTGCCATCAGGAGTAAGAGGAGGAGGAGGATAGAGAGGTAAAGGACGAGAAGTAGCAGAGTATAAGGTGGGTGAGGAGAGAGCGGGCGCGGAAAGGACTTGGGGAGGAGGACATCCCATAGGGAGGGAATAAAATAGGGCATGGGTAAGGTCACGGCAAGACGAGCCGTTTTTCACAATAGGTGCCAGGTATAAGTGCTGTCATGCATGTCGCTGAGGTATCCTAACAGACCGAGAGATGGTTGTCTGAGACCTATAAAGCCGTCCAGCACTGGCATAGCGATGGACTTGGGTAGGGTGTAGGACTGCCATCAAGAGTAGGAGGGGGATAGAGCGAAAAAGGAAAAGGAGGAGCAGAGGACAAGACAAGGTGGGTGGAGAGAGAGAGAGAGAGAGCGGGCACGGCAAAGACTTGAGCGAGGAGGAGGACAAAATGGATGGTTGGCTGCGATCTATGAAGCCGTCCAGCACTCGCATCGCCATCGACTTGGGTACTTCTTCTTGTGCCGCCGCCGTTTGGCGCGATGGCAGGGTTCATGTAATACCCAACGAGTTCGGCAGACTCTCAACCCCCTCTGTCGTTGCTTTCACGGACAAGAAGCGTTTCTTGGGCGAACAAGCTCAGAAGCTAGTTCAGCGGCGAGCGGAAAATGTGCTGTTTGAGGTCAAACGACTGATCGGGAGGGAGTACGATCAGATAGCAAGGGGTAGAGATCTCAGGAGCTGGCCTTTCAAAGTCGTGAAAGGGGTTTCCGGAGAGTCAAGAGTTGAGGTCAGCAGTGAATTCCTGTCCTCGCTTCTGAGCGAGGATAGAAGAAGTGTCCACCTTCACGGCGATGGCAGCAGCGAAGCGGACCTTTCAGCGAAGGAAAGGACGGTGTCCGGGGACCCATCGACCGCTTCAGTGCCTTCGCATCTGGGAACGGAGCGGATCGGCGTGCCGACCCTCCCGCCTCGTGCTCTCGCCGGCCGACTGAACCCCCCCGATCGTCCTCCCCGAAACAATCCCAACAACCCGCATCCTTATCGAGGAACACCTTCCGAGGTAAAGAGCACATTCTTTGCGCCGGAGGAGATTCTAGCGATGCTGTTGGCCAAGATGAAGAGGCTCGGTGAAAATTTCCTCCAAGCCAGCGAGCTGAACGCGGCGGCAATTACCGTGCCGTCTTGTTACAACGACAGGCAACGGGTGGCTACGAAGTTGGCGGCGGAGATTGCAGGCTTCACTGACGTGATACTTGTCGACGAGGTCACCGCTGCTGCGCTATCTTATGCTCATCACACGGGCATGATATCGCATGAAACAGGGGGTCGTCTTGAAGCAAATGGGAGTGGGGGTAGAGGAGGTGGTTGGAAGATAGTCGTGTTCGCACTGGGTGGAGGGAGCTTTGACGTTGCCCTGGTCACCATCGCTGATGGAAGGTTGACAGTGCACGGAGTTGCTGGCAATCCCAGTCTCGGTGGAAAGGACTTCGACGACAAGATAACTGACCTCATCATCAGAGATTGCACTAGGAAGTATGGTCGTAGCTCACAGATGAGTAGAGGTACCATGCGGAGGTTAAAGATCGCCAGCGAGAAGGCGAAAAGAGATCTGACGCTGCTCAGCGACACAAGCATCGAGATTGAGGCGGCGTTCGACGGCGAGGAAGACATCCAGATGTGTTTGGAGAGGGTGCAGTTCGAGGAAGCTTCGGAGAAGTTTCTCGGAGAATGCACGGGAACTGTATACGAACTCCTCAGAGAAACTCAGACTAGACCGGAGGAGGTGGACGAGGTTGTGCTCGTCGGAGGGTCCACGCGCATTCCCAAGATAGTCGGGATGCTGACCGAGATCTTTCAAAGGGACCCTGTGCCCCTTTTCCACCAAGACGAAGCAGTCGTTCGCGGTGCAGCTCTTCTCACGGCGTTTGGAGTTCAGGTCTGCCATACCAGCCCCTGGGGTATAGTATTTCTTCACCCGGAGGGAAAGCCTAGTAGAGCTAATTTCGGTGCTAGACCAGAAACTTTGAGATTAACCCTTTCTCCCAAACTCTTTTCTCGATCTGAATGGAGAGAGACGGAGTGGCATACGCTGCTATATGAGGGTAGGCCTAGCTCCAGACAGTTGATACCTGTGGGTGCGTTATTCGCTACGTTCGAAGATGAGGCGATGTCCGAGAGGTTCCAAGATGAGGTGGAGTACGTGTCTTTCGAGCTTGAGTTAGCTACGTGTGGAGTGCTTGGACTACGGGAAGTGCAGTCAAACTTCAAGAGCGGGGGTCTGTCATTGGTTAAATATTGGCAATCACCCGTCGAAGAGGTCAGTTCATGGAAGGAGCGCGCTGAGAGGCTGATTGATTTCGAAAGGACTTGTGCGCAAATTAGCAAAGCGAGGCATCGTTGGCAGAAATACACCGCCGAAGTGGCTAAAAGGGAGACTGGGAGCCCTGATTGGCTGCGGTCCGTCGTATGCTCTCTCAGGCTTGAGGTAGACCAGTGGCTTGAAGAAGCAGAGCAGAAACAAACGTGGGGCGCCGCGGAGTTTGAGTCGCGATTCGAGCACTTCCGCCGCGTGTGCGGACTGGCATTCGGGGAGATGTGGGCGCGGTCCATTTCCAACAGGAGGTTCCTGGTCGTCGATCGATGGAGTGCAAATGACTTCGCCCATTGTCTGCAGAATCTCGCCGGCGATGGATGTGGCCAATCAAGCCACAGGGCGTCCAGCGGTAGTAGCAGCGGCGGCGGCGGGAAGTCCAGATTTGATGCTGGCCTCTGCGATCTTGTCGTCGTTTTGCCACATGACAGGTTTCCCGACACAGAGAAACAGGTGAAAGGGGCGTGCGACGGCATCGAGGTAGCCGCACCTTACACGATGTCGCCGCAGCGTCTGAGAGGTCGAGGCGCTAGCTACGTGGTTGTTGGAACTGAGGGCGAGAACCCGGATTGGAACGCAAACATTGGCCGACAGGTGGCCATGGCTGTGCATGCGGGACTTCTCGTCGTACTGCGCATCGAAGGACGCCCTCCCGCTAATCACGAAGACCTCTGGGAGCAGGAAGGCCTTTCAGACCTGGAAGAGGAGAGACGGCACTGCCGAGAACAGCTTATTGCTGTAATACGGGAGGTTGGCAGGGACTGGAGAAACGTTGTCCTCGCGTATTGCCCTCCCTGGTTCGACATGCTGACGGTGGAGACGTCTGATACCGACGAAGGAGTCGACATGTCTCTTCTACTCAAGCATGTGGTGGGGGTCGTTCAGCATCTACGACAAGTCTTAGCGACTTCCATCGATCCCGACGCAGCTTCAGCCACGCGCATCATCTTTGGGGGCGGGGGCCACGTAACCGACAGAATCTGGAATGAGCTCACGAAAGATAAGGACATCGACGGGTTTCTTCTTGATCACGCACTCCGAAGCGCGGATGTCATCAACAGAATAGCTCTGCCTCGATGGAAGAGCACTGGAAAGCTCTTACTGTGCGGAAAGATCGACAAAGTGAGCGATTTCAAAGAGAACAAGCGCCGGAAGGCCGTGATGTCTGTTGCACAAGCCATCGAACAGAGCGGACGTGGTGTGGTCGCCACCTTAGCAATCTGGTCGTACAAGCGAGCGCGAGTCGAAGGCATGTGCAGGGCAGGGACTTACATCTTCTGCGAAGAGGGCCTCCGAGCGTGCGGATCACGAACGGGAGGCGCAGCTTGGAAGATGGAGATCATCCCAGTTTCTGGTCCCTCCTTAGACATGGGACAGAGTTTGATGGCACTGGACGATCAGTTGTCTACGATCAAAGAAGACTTGGAGAATACAGATGGAAGATGGGAGGAGGTGGTCCTAGAGTACAGGCACGCGATTGGTGTGGAAACTTCTGGCAGTAGTCTTTGCAAGGTCGTGGATCGCGCTCTTAACCGGATGAGGAGATGGCTCCTCACGCATGTGAATCCAACGACGGCAGAGGCGGTTCGGATCATCTACTTCTTGGACGAGAACCGAAAGCTCGACACGTTGCAGGACATCGTGACGTTGCCGAATCTAGATGGGGTGAGCTTGAGGCTTCAGTAACTTGGGGGCTGCTCTACGGAGGAGGAGGGGGAGGTTAGGGCCACGCTCCAACCCTTGTTGATTAGACAAACATGGCAAGCCTCAAGAAAAAGAGGCCTCCGCTTCTTTTTTGTGAGAGGTAGCTTTATCTGCAGGGTTCTCGTGTATGGGCTTACGAGTAGCGGTAGGTAGAAGGACCCTTTCTCGATTTATGCACGTCATGCCATCCTTTTTTTTTTTTTGTGTGTGTGTGTGTGTCGTCCTTGCGCAGGGGCCGTGCTAATCTTCTCTGTATTATTCCAAGGATGTTCCCAAGGACTAGTGGTAGGCAGGTAGGATGTTCCAAAGGACTAGTGGTAGGCAGGTAGCAAAAGTGATTGCTCTGTCATCTTTTCTTTTTTTTTCTTTTTTTTTTTGGTCGACCTTGCGCAGGGGCCATGCTAACCTTCTCTGTATCAGAGCCTCGTTCGACACCACTTGAAAATACTTGAGTTTCAAGTGCACACTAAACGAGAAATTGTGATTAATTTACACTTACTCCATTTATGGTTCCATGTGCACTTGAGGAAACCCTTGAACAGGATCTGCACTTGAAACCAAACTCTACGTCTTGACCAATCCTGGACCAGCATCGCCTGCTGGAAAAAAAGAAAAACAAAAAAAAAGGCCCCACTTGGAGTGCTGGCCGTATCCGGTGGCACTTGAACTCAAGGTACCTCAAGGAGGTGACTTGAATTGAAGGGCGACTTGAATTCGCCCTTGAATTCAAGGGTGATTTTGGCTGTGTAGCCCTTGACCCTTGGGCCGCAAAAAAGTGAAAACTAAGGGATGATTTCTCACTTTGCTCTAAAACTCAAGTGGTCTGGAACGAGGCCCTCATTCCCAAGGATGTTCCCAAGGACTAGTGGTCGGCAGGTAGTAAAAGTGATTGCGGGGGGACAAGAAGGTCAGAAAAGGGAAAACTAGGGTACAGTCAAGGTTTTCAGGGCATACTCACACTAGCACACATTTTCATAAAATCGTAAATTCTAGGTGATTTGTTGGGTCACACGGGCTACGTTTTCACGCAAATGGGCACGTAAATGTCAGTGGCTTGGACAGCCGCCGGGTTAAATATTTTGCAGGAACCTCTGGAGCATGGTCCCACTAGCAATGGGATAGGATAGAAAAGAGTTTGTGTGGCAGTTGAGTGACCCAAATCCTGCTGTGCAGTACTCGTGATCCCAAGGTCAGTATTTTATATGTATTACCCGAAAAAGTAAGGAGATCTTGGTTCCCCTTCTCCTCTTCTTAACACTGGCTGCACTCGTGATCCCACTGTCATATGTATTACTGGAAAAAGTAAGCAGATCTTCGTTCCCCTTCTCCTGTCCTTTACACTGGGCTTGCCGAAGCTTCCCGCCAAAATCTTTTCAATCCGTTGGGGGTATGGCCGACCCCAAAAGAGAGTGGGGTCGGCCATAGGCCCACTGGATAGAAGATGTTCCGTATTTTGCTTGCTGTTGTGCAGGTATCTCATTGGGTGGAGCCCTCCTTCAATCACGGATTATATAGAGGGCGTCAGGATCACTGCTGACAGAAGTTGAGTTTATTCCAGAAAATGTGGCAGTTACTTTGTTCACTGTTGTTGCAACCACCACCATCAGATCATTTGTGATCTGATTGCTGGGAAGCACTCTGCTGTGATTTCAGGTGGGAGGTCTCTGTTTCTCTTTTTTTTTTTTGCCTTTCTCCTGTTTTCTCACACCAGAAATTGGTAATGAACCTGTCAGGCCGCTGCCACTCAGTGTCACACTGGATCGGCCACACTCCTATCCCACTGCTAATGGGACCTCCACAATTGCATATTCGTTTTAGACCTGTTTCTTTCTGGAAACAAAAAAAAAACAATTCTACTTTTGGTCAGCAGCTCTGGGAAAAAAAACAGGAAAAAGGGATGGATTTTTATGCATCGTGCTGTGTGACCCCTCGGCCCTTATAATCGTATTCCTAGAGCAGGTGGAGACTGTGTTCTTTCTGTTTTGTGGTGTATACGGGTGTGCTGTGTGACTGGGAAGGCCCGTATAAACGCAAATTGCCTCTCGTATAATTTGCTATTGTATGTGCTAGTGTGAGTATGCCCTCAGCCACGAATTTTATTCCAAAGTGAGGAAAATCGTGAATGTATCCAACCCAGCAGTAGGGTTGGGTGGGGATGTGTTGTATTCGGGGGACCTTGAATTTACATCTGAGAACGTGACTGCGCCCAAGGTACCCCAAAAAAAAAGTTGTCATGAACCCATTACCAACCGGCCTGCTGCAGGGCATACTCACACGGCGACCCCAAATCCACAAAATATGCGGATTTGGGAAGGGCCCATTTGAGGTTTTGGGCATGGTTCATGTCACACTGCTGTACCTTTTCAGATGGGACAAGGTCGCAGCCGTCTGGAGAAATGGGGATTTGGTACTTGGCTGGTCACACTGAAATCACACTTCTGATTATTCAACTTGTCATGTATGCAAACAGCGAAACAGCAACTGGCGACATGCGCCCACACAATACTCAAGATATCGTAACCAGATATGAGTTCTCTTCAACTGGCTATGGCGACTGGGCGCCCACACAACTCACTGTTCGCACTCTGGATCACCCTGGATGTCCCACACGCAACACTCAGTATTATACTTCACACACCACACATGCTAGGCTACAGCTATGGCAGCGCTAGCTGCTACTACCTATCGCTGCACTCTACTCCTCTGCCCACTTCGTCTTCGGGCACTCTGCAGACCTCCTCGCACAAGCTGCTAGGTAGCGCTTCCGCATGGCATCCGCAGGAATGAATGAATGAATGGACGCAGCCTCTTGATTTATACTTCTGTGCTGCATTGGTCTGCCTTGTGTCCCTGGCCCATGGTGCACACAGTTCCCCCCGTGGTACTTGCTGGACCGGACTGGTACTTTCTAGACTCTCTCCAACATGGGCTTACTTTAGTCACACCACTTGCCCACTTGCCTGCACCACTTGACCACTTGCCTGCACCTAACAGGGACTGACTCCGAAAGGCCACTTCTAGAACTCTCTAAGTTGGCCTTTCGGTACTGTAGCAGCTACGACTTTGCCCTTTCAGGTAAGTAGCAGCTACGACCTTGACTCTTCAGGCAGTCTTCAGCTACAACTCCGGAACTGTCTAGACTTCTACCCTACAGGTCTACAATTCGATTCCAGCCTATCCTGTGCCCTACGACAATCTACCTACCACTGGCGGTTCTACAGGTCGCAGGTTCAACTCTTCGAGTTGACGTAGCAAGAACTTTTGTGAACGATTTTTTGCCAATTTTTGAAGAAAATGCAAAAAAAAAAAAGGGAATTCGCGGTCACCTCCAGAGGTGACCGCAAAATCCCTTGCCCCGCAGCTTCCCAGGCAGCTGACAAATGGGCACTGGAATAGTACATTGGCGGATCTGGTAGATCCGTGTGACTGGCCTTTTTTCCTTTTTTTTGGGATTTTGGGATTATAGGTTCCCGTGTGAGTATGCCGTCAGTTCGTACACCCGCGAGCTGCTGAAGTGGAGACCCAAGTTCAAATCCAGACAATCAGATCAACAAAACAAAATAATTCTGCATTACCTTGGCCAGCAAGCTAAATGATGAGAGAGGATGAGATAAGGCTTCCACCTTTGCAGTTTTGCCCTGCAACGAGGCCCTTCGGTCACGTTCTGTTGTCCCTGCTCCAAGGAGTCACTCTGTCATGGACTCGTGATGAAGGGATAATTGGTAGAAACGGCTTCGGGCGCCCGAAGCTCGGCCGGTCAGTACTACCGGGTACCGGCCTAAACGTCTTCAGCCCGGGTGAAAGGTTTGGCGCCGTGGCCACTTCTCCCTGGCCCTGTTTTCACCGGTTCAAGAATTTGGCGCTGTGCTCGGGCCAGATTCATGAACTGGTAGGGCCCTTCTTTTTCAAAATACCGTAGGTGGGCCTCATTCTATACTTCATCCGTACCACCCTCGGCTCTTTTACATCAAAATGAATCTGGTGCTGTTATGCGCCATTCATGATCCGGTAGGACCCTTGGAGCAACGCGTGGGTCTGTAGTACCCCACATGGAAGTCATTGGGCCGGTAGTGTGACGAACCACTTTCTGGGCCGTGCGACTTTCTGCGCGATGACAATGAGGGGTCCTGAGACGGGAGGGTTGGGCAAATTACGGGAGGTGGGATCGGCGGGTAAATGGCGTCGGTGTCCTCGCTTCTTTCTTTTCCTTCGCTTCGCTTCTTCCCCTTCGGCGGTGATGGGACAGGCCCAGGGCAGACGGTTGAGTATGCGCGCCCCGTTGGGCACGATCCATAACGGTTGGCAATGGTTCTTTCTTGCTCTGCTGAGAGAAAAAGGGGGGGAACTGAGATTTTTGGTGCGATGATCGCGCGGCAGCTTTCCGGTTTTCTTTTTAAATTTTCCTTTCAACTAAGGACGAGCCCCCAAGGGCTCTCGTAACTTCGATTTCTTTTTGCTTTTCTTCCGTCTCGTTGGAATTTTTCTGTTGCAATTTTGAGTTCAGATAGGAATTTAGGACTCTTTGAATTTCTTGCCGAGCGGCGCCCCTTTCTTGCGCGCACCTTCCTGCGGCGGGAACAAGGTTCTGACTAAGCGGCGCCCTTAATCTTGCGTGCAACTGTAATCGTTGGGCGGGCGCCATTGTAACTGTATCTTTCTTCTTGTTCCCTCGCCTTCTTCCCGCCCTTTTCCCTTCTTTTTGCTACATCTGATTGGCCTGAGCGCTGCATGCCTAGATCGATGCGTGGAGAGTGGCTACGTCCCCCACGCCGTGATCTGGCCATGCCAAGCGTAGGCGCTTCATTCTCTGCTCCTCTTTCCAATCCCTGCAATCTCGCATCTTCGCGCACACCGCACGCATTTCGTCGGCGCGATTAGATAGCTCTCTCTGTGTACCCGGCTGAACGCGCGTCCACGTTCAAACGCGCGCGTTCATATCCCCCGGGGTCGCGTTCAAACGTGTTTCGCGCCACGTGGCGCGAAAAAATTGAACGTGACCCCGGGGGGGGCGCGCGCGTGTTGCGGACTATGGGGTGGAGGGCCTCGTTCATCAAACCACTAAAGTGCAAAAAAAAAAAAAACGAGGCCCACCACCCCTACCGCATCACCCCCCACCATATGTGAATGCTCCTTTTTTTTTTCGGGGGGGATGGGGGCATCCCCTTGACACGGCTCAGACGGCCCATGCAGGCTATCTGAAGGGCCCTCGTAGCTATGTAGCGCAGACCCCCCACCAAAATCAAGGTAGGCAGTGAATATGAAATAGAGCACAAGCTGGCCAAATATATACTCAAGATTCAGATTCAAGTCTGTGTTTCCGCAATTATGGGTTGCTCACGTAGCTAGGCCATGTTGGGCTCTGCAGGTGATTCTCAAGGCTTGGCTGCACTACTCACCAAATGTGCAAAACTGGAATGAATCTTCTGCAGAACATGGAATAATACACAGCCATATGTTTTGTCTTTTTTTTTTCTCGTTTTTTGCAGTGGCCCTAAAAAAAAAACAGGCGATTCTCAGGGCTTGGCTGCACTACTCACCAAATGTGCAAAACTAGAATGAATCTTCTGCAGAACATGGAATAATACNAAAAAAAAACAGGCGATTCTCAGGGCTTGGCTGCACTACTCACCAAATGTGCAAAACTAGAATGAATCTTCTGCAGAACATGGAATAATACGCCGCCATATGTTTTGTCTTTCTTTTTTCTCGTTTTTTGCAGTGGCCCAAAAAGAAAAACAAAAGAAAAGAAAAACGAGAAAAAAAAAGACAAAACATATGGCGGCGTATTATTCCACGTTCTGTAGAAGATTCATTCTACTTTTGCACATTTGGTGAGCAGTACAGCCAAGCCATGAGAATCACGTGCAGAGACCAACACGGCCTAGCTACGTGAGCAACCCATAATTGCTGAAACACAAACCTGAATTTGAATCTTCAGTATATATTCGGCCAGCTCCTGTTGTACTTCCTGCCTTGATTTTGGTGGACGGGTCTGCGCCACATGGTTGCGAGGGCCCTTCGGAGAACCTGCATGGGTTGTCCCAACTTGTCTGAGCCGTGTTA